CAACAACTGAGAATACAATATATTTTCTGCTTTCTTATTTTCTTCGTTTTTCATTTTAAATCAACGTCGCCGCTGTTAAACTCGCTTGTTTTAAATATTCGCGCCGCTACACGGCGTGAAAGTGCTGTCATCTGTCGGATTGCGACTAGAAATTCGAAAATGTAACAGGAACATAAGATATGCTAGGAAGTACCTGAACTTCTGTTAGACAAGGAACGCAATGTCCTGCAACAAGGACAGATATCTCTTTCCAATCTACTGAATATTCATTAATTACCCCTCTTCCGGGATTAATTCGTGCACTTTTGGAATTCGATAATAAAGTATAAATCTCAAACAATATTCTTATATAATTTTGGATGCGATTCTTTGTATAATTAGTTAGTTAGCTTTCGCGACATACCCCTGCGATTTTTCATTGATATTGAACTTTTTGAGCATTAAAGCTTGTTGTTTAGAATTGCAGAAGCTTCCCTAGACTTTGTACTTTGTATTCCACGCATAAAAATCATTAATTGATTCTCCATAAATCCAAATCATGTGAAATCATTGTGAATTCATCGCATCGATTCTTTGTCGCAACGATTCTCTGCGCAAAATTGCACAGTCACACTGATTTTTATTCCACGATCTCAAAAGTATACGGTTTTAGCCTAGAAATTAAGTAATTAATGAATGTTTGAGAAATTAGACGGAGAAGTATATCTATCCTCGTTTCACAATTTTGCTGTCCTTTGTCATGAACTGGATACTGCCATCTATTGGTTGGGGGTGAAAAATCAAGAAAATAACAGGGACATAGAACGTGCAAGAAGGTATCCTTACTCCTGTTAGACAAGAAACGCACTACTGCGCGACAAGGACAAATATACATGCGTCATAGACAAGGAGCGCATCACATTGCGACAAGGACAGATATACACGCGTCATAGACAAGGAGCGCACTACATTGCGACAAGGACAGACATACTTCTTCGTCTAATTTATCGAATATTCGCTAATTATTCAAATTTTGGGGTAAAACCGTACACTTTTGGAATCAAGAAATAAAAACTAGACTACGACTATTATTCACATGCAATTTTGCATAGGAATTGTTGCTTAAATTAGTAGTTATTAATAACGTGTCGTCGAAAGGATCAAAGCGATGAATTTTTGCATGATTTGGATTTATGAAAAATCAATTAATGATCTTTATGCGTTGAATAGAAAGTACAGAGTCCAGGGAAGCTTCTACGATTCCAAACAGGTTTAATCCTCGAAAAGTTCAATATCAATAAAAAATAGCAGGCGTCGCGAAAGCTCGGACACCTGTTGAAACGATTGTTAATAACTAATTAATTTAAAAAATCGCATCCAAAATTATATCGGAATGTCGCTTGAGGTTTATACTTTATTATCGAATTCCAAAGGTGCAAGAATTAATCCCAGAAACGGAGTGATTAATGAATAGTAGATTGGAAAGAGATATGTGTCTGTGCTTGTTGCAGGACATTGCGTTCCTTGTCTAACAGAAGTTCAGGTCTATTCAACTTCCTAGCATATCCTATATTCCTGTTACATTTTCGAATTTCTAGTCGCAATCCGACAAATGGCAGTACTTTCGCGCCAAGAATTACGTATACAATTAGTTCTAGCGTTTCGCCGCTACACAGCGCTAGCGTTTCAATGCCTGTAGGTATGATGATCGATAAATATAATAAAGTCACTGTACTACAAAGGAAAATTTTATAATTTATTTTAACATTCACATGATACAGAATTTAATGAATGAACTGACGACTTTATTAATTTCTTATTTACTGTTATATATATTTTCGGCAATTTGTTTGTAACTTGGTAACCAATAATTTGTTGTATCTCCATGGTAACTTTTTATAAGACTGAATAGATGTTACATGCCCATAATAAACTTTCATTTGCAAAAAAAATTAATTTAGAGGATTAATTTGTTAACTCTCGTAATTCAGTTTTACATTTTTGACCCTTCAATTTTTCCCTACAGTCCACTTATCGTATGTAAGTCGGAAATAAAGATTAAAATAAAGATTTAAAAATTTTGGTCAATAAATCGAACACGTTTATTCCGACTTATTTATTCCGACTATGTGCTACTAATGCTTAAGTGTCCATTTTGCAAAAATTGCTAATTAATTTATGAACTTTTACGGTTGCTTTTGTTTCATTGGACCGCCAGTTCCAATAAATGACAGGACAATCGAATATCTTTTTAAAATTTTGTTGTATTCAATAAATTTCAAGAAATACATGTACCATATTCTACATAATTGTATTTTATTTTATAATACAGATATGTTAGTTTCAAGATACTTTCGCATTATAAAATATAATTTTTCATATAGGATCGTACAATATGAAATACTTATTTATATGTATTAACTAAATACATATTACATTTAAACATTCAATATAACAATTATACTTATTTCAATTTACAATTTTGAGCTATGCTATAGATAAATACATAGATGCATAGATACAATATGGACCGCAATGAATATTATTAAAAAAGGATCTAAAAGAGCTAAAAATTGAGAAGATAATAATGATAAAGATTATACTATTGCAATACATGTTTATATGTTATTGTATATATCTATTATTACCGTGTATTGTAATGATAAATTTAATGAACAAATTATGTATTATGTATTATGTTCATTTATGTACAATTGAAATTAGTCATTTGCGTGATACTATTTTAAGGATTGTAAACAGTGACGTAAGACATTTATAGGACACAAATTTTCTTTTCTTCGTTCACTGCTTTGTAAACTTGTCTCTTTATCTTTATTGTGGAAATATTTAACAATACTGTAATGTAAGACCGAACGTTTAATAATATTGTTCAAAATGCAGCGTGCAGTTTCCTTTTTCTAATTTGTTGCTATAATCAATTCCTATTAACTTAAATGCTTATACGTCAGAATCTGTCGAAGCAGGATATGTTGGACAATTTTTTCTATCGTATTCGTGATGATATCGCATTGACGTTTTAAAAGTAAATCCAGTATGTCTTGCAGTATTTGTCAAGCAAAATTTTCCTTCTTTACAAGAGAAGTAAGTTCTTATTTGTATTGATAGAAGATTACTTGCACAATTTATAGGTTAGATTGTATCATACCATTGCGTATTTCTTGCACGCACATATCATTCTGAATTTGCATTTGCGAATATTAGAAACTAGAAATATAGGCCTTTAACACACCCTTTTCTTTTCTCATGTCTCATTTTTCTTGTATCGTTTAGGTTGCTTGCCCAGGCTGTGGCTTTTCTTGTTGCAGTAAGTGCCTTAAATATAAATATAACATTCCAGATAAAGGAGTGAAAAAGATCTGTGGACGTTGTTTTAATAACCATAATTTTACAAGCAAGTCAAGTTCGAATAATAGTATTGAGATGGACGAGCATGAAAAACCGATGGCTCCAGTAGACATAACAAAAAAGTAATGTATTTAGAAATATGTTTCTTAATATGTAATTTATAACGTATAGTGACTGATGAAAGTATTTGAACATTTATCATACTATATGCTGTATGAAATATTTTTAATATTCTATTGCTAATATAGTATTATATAGATAATATATTCATAACAAGTCTCTCAAAGTGTTCATATATTTTTGTGATCAGTAAAATAATGTAACGTATTTGTTTCATACAGACTGGAATCACTGGAGAATCCTGCAAAGCCTCCCATTATAATGTATAAGCATACAAATCATTGGGATAGATTCAAAACTGGTTTAGAACCAGCTGATCAAGAGATAGTTGAAAGATTAAGGAAATTAAAGGAAGAAGACAAAACTACAGCTTTAAGCGTAGATGAAATAAGGAGAAGATTAGCATTGCTGAAGGATGAAGATCCGGATGTTAGGCAACGCGCAATAAATGTATGTTAATATGTATGTGATAAAAGAATATTACAAAATTATTATTAATACAATATAATTAATATAATATAATTATTAGTACAATATAAACAACCATCTGATTTCCTGTAGACACATCAAGTGGATACCAGAACGGATCAACAGAAGACGGATGATTTAATACAGGAATATCTAAAACAATTAGAACTATCTTCGAGCAGCGATTCAGTCAGTGAAATTCAAGCACGGCTGAAATCACTGCAAGGCATTAGCGACAAACCTAGAGAGGTATAAAACTGATACGTAAGATGCGTAAGAATTAATAATTACATAAGGAATTTTTCATGCATTTGTTTCAGCATTCGGCTAATGATGATGATGATGATGAAAAACAGGTGACAAAGAAATTAATTGCAAAAGCTTTGGCAGAAGCGGAATTGGAGAAAAAATATGAAGAAAATGTGGATGAACTTGAAGAAATGGAAATTGAGGTATGTGGAACTTATTTTTAATAATTATGTACACACGAACTTTTAATTGGAATTTAATGAACAGGAGGCAAAGCATACCGATGACGAAGAGGAACCGAGTTGCGTAATGTGCGAACAAACCGAAGATTTACAGCGATGTATAGGTTGTCATGGCGACCTTTATTGTCTCGTATGCTTCAAAGATAATCACGACGAGTTTGAGTTGAAAATGCACAAAAGAGAACCAGCAACAAAACGTAATCAACATTAAGCGGAATCGCTAGAAATTTTAAAGAAACGCTTCGCAACAATTCATGTGCAGTTTCATTGCTAAAAGACACTTGCAACCGTATAATTTTTGCAAACAAAACTGAAACTAGCATCGTCACTTGCAATTTTTTATATTGGAATTATAAATACCATCGTTTAAACAGAATACATTGCTTGCAAAGTATACAGACACATAAAATAAATAATACATAATTATACATAATTGGTAAGCGTTCTAGCTGTAAGTTTCAAGCCTAGATTGTGATTGTATCAATTATATTGAAAATTATTGTTGTGCTACATCACTTTCACAGTAAGTAATTTTATAACAATTTTAATTTGACAAATTTAATAAGATATACACGCTTTTGCTAAAAAAAAAAACTAAATTATTTATTCATATAATTAACTCTGTCTCCGTTAATTTCTAATGTCTAAAGTCTTGTTAAGCAAATAAATACCTAAATTTTAATTAAACATATTTAAATCAATTAATAAATTCTCAATGTTATATATATAGCTGTGTATATATATATATATATATATATA